CAAGCGATCACAGACTTGTTTACCCCCGTCGGCTGGCTTGGTTCTCATGTGGGGGCTACACACCGAGAGTCGCTCCCAGTCCACTTGAGCTGGTATCTGTCAGTGCGAACAAGTGAACTACATGCAATACATGTAGAGTAGACGGTTCGATACCGGAACGCCTTGACAGCCAAATTTGTATAGACCCAAACCGATCATCAGCGTTGATTTTTCACTCGAAATATGTTTGTGGAAGGAAACTGGCATGTTGAAGTTTGCTCTGGGGCCAGAGTCAATCGAACTGAGCCACTCCTTTGTGTTGACCCATTGCCTCCAAGTTGCCCAATTTTTCGCTTCAAAAAAGTTCAAATCAGAGGTGGCTCCAAACCGGACACGTTTTAGAGTGCACGTCAAATTCACTCTGGGTCTGAAATTAGGTAATTGCTATCGCTCCACAACGGCCAGTACAGAGTAACAGTAAGCCTTGTGTGTGCTTCCATTAGTTTTGATTGGTATGCGGTGCTTTATTGGCGAGAGGCGAGCCGCTGTTTACCTGCGACAAGAAGTTGATTTTTCGAAAGTCGTAAAACTCAAGTCGCAGTGCGAAGCAACACGTCAAAAACTCACCTGCTTGGTATGGCGCTTCTGGTCGTCGTAGAGCCATGAAATTTTGGCTCGGGGTATAACACATCGTAGTCTCACTGTGACATGTGTTTTCTAATCAAAATACCAAGAGAGAAAGTGAATATTGAGTCCGTTCCGGTTTGCAACCTGTGTCCTATTTGAAACCGTCGCCTCTACTGTGACTGTCCAGGAAATCATTGGGGGAAGGGGGTGATGATGCTGTTCAACTAGATTGCATGTACAAACTAGCACCATTTGCTCACTCTACAAACTAGCACTTGTCTTCACCCCGTACAGAGCGTAGTCACGGTGTCATTCCGAGTCATTCGAATAACCTATGTGCATAGTACGTGTGATGTAGTTCACCTTGTTCTGAATGTTGTCGTGTGTGTGTGTGTGTGTGTGTGTGTGGTACATGGTGTGTGTGTGTGGTACATGGTGTGTGTGTGTGGTACATGGTGTGTGTGTGTGGTACATGGTGTGTGTGTGTGTGTGTGTGTGTGTGTGTGTGTGTGTGTGTGTGTGTGTGTGTGTGTGTGTGTGTGTGTGTGTGTGTGTGTGTGTGTGTGTGTGTGTGTGTGTGTGTGTGTGTGTGTGTGCTATGTTCACACACAGTGCTTGATGCATTTGGCAAGCCCGGTGCAGGTGCTTTTGAAGGTGATTTCAGCTGGTATGGTGACTACCAGGAGTGTCAGAGCATTCCTATTGCCAAGTACTGTGTCAGCAGCTTCACGTTCAATCTCAGCGCTTCTTTTCCACCAGTAGGTAGTACAATATAGTACAGTTGTGCTTGGTGAAGTTGTGCTCTGTAAATTCTGACCCAAAGGGCATATCTGGCGCCCTCTACTAGCACAGCCCCTGGCGCCCTCTACTAGCACACCCCCTGGCGCCCTGGACGTACACCTGTACAAGTACAGTGATGTAATCGGAACTGGTCCAGGGCGTCAGTTTTTCACTTTGGGTCTGATTTTAGTGAGTGCAACTGTACATTGCAGTAACATTGTGGTGATTGTGTTTAATGGCAGTCTGTCCTGTGGAGCTGTTGTAAATTCTGTGCTGTGTGTGTGTGTGTGTGTGTGTGTGTGTGTCCCATATGGTGCAGTGGTATGTGCAGCGATTTCCAATCGATAGGTTGCGGGTTCGATTCCCGACGATTATAGTCACACACGTCTTTCTTCTCTTTCTCAGACTCTTCATGACTTTTCTTTCATTCTCCTGGGTGGTTACCAACAGCCAGTGCATGCCGGAGTATGTGGTGTGATGTGTGTGTGGGAAAAAAAGAAAAAAAAAAGAAAAAAGAAAAAGACCAAAAATAGGGATTCACTGGCCAGAAAAAGTCACTTCAAATAGCTGTATGGTGTAGACCAGGCTGAATAGTGACGGTCAATTCTTCAGCCTTGCAAGCTGTTGAATGGTGCAATCCCAGCACAAGTTGCTATGGCTTCTGCCGTAGCATTGCTATCATCGCCTCCGGCGATGGGCGTCAAAGGTCAAAGGTGTGTGTGTGTCAGCTGTATGTCAGCTGTGTGTCAGCTACCAGGCTTAAATTAGTGGCGGTCAATTTATCAGCGTTGGAAGCTGTTGAATGGTGTATTTCCAGCACAAGTTGCTATGTCTAACATAGCTTGTTCGCTATCATCGCTTCCGCGATGGGCATGTGGAAGTGTGTGTGTGTGTGGTGGAGTGTTTGTGTTCATGCATGTGACTGTGTACCCATGGCCTTTATGTAGCTAAAAAAATTAAATTCTCACGATATCGTTTTTGTCGTCGTTGCTGTTGCTGTTATTGTTGTTGTTGTTGTTGTTGTGTAGATGCAGACAGTGATTGGACTATGCCTGCCCAAGGAATGCACTGAAGAAGATGCGGCCCTCTTGCCGTCGCATATCAACGAGCGTAAGTTGTGTTTCCCTTGAATCTTCTGTCTCTACCCGCTCGTAACCTTGTCTGCTGATTTCTAGTGTTAGCTTAGAGTACTGGGTAGAGTGCTACCTCGAGTCATGGCTAGGGTGTTGACTAGAGTGCTGTGTGTCTTCTTGCATGATCGCTTTGATATCCTATACAGCGATGCGTGATTTGTGGGTGTGCATGGGTGTGCGTGTTTGTGTGTATGTGCGTGTGTGTGTGGGGGGGGGGGGGGGGGTACATGTGTGTGTGTGTGTACTTCTTGTCAGTGTCACGGCTGCTGCTGATGGTGCTGGTGCTAGTGCAAGTGTCTGCAGCTATCCGCCTTGTTAACTGAACGATTGGTGTGTTTATTGTGTGATTCTTATTTGTATTGTCACAATCTTCGTTAGTGTCCAGCAATCCCTTTTCTATGTCGGGAAATGCAACGAACATGATCGCAAAGTTCATGGCCCAGCACGAGATTGCAAACACAAGCACGGGCTTCTGCCTTGAGCCACTCCAGTCTAATGCCGGTTTCGCTGGAACATTGTGAGTGTGTACCGGCTATGCACAGCTATTTACAGCTATTGCCTTCCGCATACATGTACAGTCAAACCTCTTTAGGACGAACACCAAGGGACGGATGGTATTTGTTCGTAATAACGGGAGTTCTTCTTATCCATATTTTATACCCAGTGAATACACAGTGATTTATCCAATAGAGCTATGAACACTAGTTCTTCTAAAGCGAAAGTTTGTCTTATCGGTGTTCTTCTTAACCAGGTTTCACTGCATATAGTATTATATCGGTGAATTCACTCTGAAACCTTTCTGGTTCCTTCTGGACACGACCGCGATTACCTCCTACAATGTTGTTTAAAAAAAGCAGAGAGAGTAGAGTTATCACATGTGCGTCACCACTGACTGCTAGCAGTAGTATACAGTTGTGTTTAGAAGCATAACCACTGGCCAGCTTAGAAGTTCTGCCTGTGCTAAGCCACCAGCAGCGTGTCTGGTTATGCCTAGGTGGCGAGCGCAGTGTGTAATGGTGAGAGTAAGATGGTAACTCTCACCAGCACCCAACAAGGTGCGATAGCTTGTTAACGTCATCCATGTTGCCATGGTGTGCAGTGCTGAACAGTCCCCTGCCTGAACTGCTGGTAACATTCTGGCATGGTCATCATTCACACCGATGAAGACAGTGATACCTACGGACGCTGCCATTGGGGGCAGCACTTTGATTTGGATTCTAAGCTACTGAATAGTACAGAAGATGGTTTAAAATGCTCTCGATCAACGTGAGAACTACAGTAACTGTTGCTTGCTTTTCATTGTCCGTTTTCTTTTTCTTGCTGTCTTTTTTTTCTTCTGCTCTTGTAGATTTTTAATCTTCTCTTTCGTGGCTCTGCTTGTGATCGGCACGCTGGTGGACTCTTTCTATTGTGCCGACCAGCAGCTGCCCAGAGTTGGAGTTGTTAGCGTGGACCGGTCGTCGCATTCTCGCCCTCCGGCCAACGGCTATGTAACCACTGGACACGATGTCCAGTACAGCGGGAACATGACGGACGAGAAGCTACCACTGCTGGGCGCTGTGTCCGGTCACACAGCAGCAGGTCAGCACGCCGGTGGTGCTGGCAAGTCGTCGGCAACGAGCCGCCTGCTCATCGACCTCCTGCTCTGCTTCTCGGTGCCGCGCAAGCTGAAGACCATCCTGGCTGCGGAGCACAAGCAGGGCACCATCCCGTGCCTTCACGGACTGCGCTTCTTCAGTATGTGCTGGGTGATCCTCGGCCATTGCTATATGTGGCCAACGTTGATTGGAGAATGTAAGTGTGTCTGTGATTGACCAGGGATATGCTTGCCACACCAGAGCATATTAAATGTAGGATTCTGTTAGATTTGTATAGAGTAGTGTGCGTGTGTGTGTGTGAGAGAGTACTGAACATCAGTTCTATCGTCCCAGTGTTGTGCGTAGACTGTAGATGGGTGTTCTCCGCATTTGGTCTTAGGCGTGTAGTAAGCCCTTGCAGCTCATCTGCAAGTCACTTGAAGTGCTCTGCTGCTGCTGGTATCCTCATTTAAATTTAACATTGAACATTTCTACATCTGCCCTGCATAGCAGCTGCTCTTAGCAGTGCAGAATTGTACTACAGTCATGGCCAAAGCAATCCGACCTGTCTTGTTCTTGGTCTTGTTTCATCAACGTTGCTATTTTCATTGTTGCCGCCGTCGCCGCTGTTGTGGGTGTGTTTTATGTTTGCAGCCAATATCCTCTACGCATACAGCATAATGAAAAGGACATCTTTTCAGTGGGTGTTGAACGGTACTTTCTCCGTAGACACTTTCTTTTTCCTTAGGTAGGTACTCCGAAATACTATTGTGCATAAGCTGGTTGTTGTGAAATGTTTTGTTGGATGGCTGGTCCTAGATTGATGGTCGCTCAGTTTGAGCGTGTTGAATGAAGTTGCATTGCTACAGTGGTTGGCAGGTGATCAGACGGATCCTAAAGCAATAGTAAAATTCATTCAACACATTGCTGGTTATAGTGAAATTCAACTAGAGGCCTGAGAGCTGTGCGGTTACGGTGCTTGATGGGCATGTGACCTAAGCTGAGCTGCTCAGCTGCGGGGTGTCAATGGATGCTTGACGCGGGGGCACCGAAAACGAGCCCATGGCTTGCTTTCACTGCCCAGTACTATACATGTCATGTTTTATTGCTCGCACTCATTCGACATCATCTTCACGAGCGCAAAGTGTCCACCGAGCAATCTGTCTTGCGTCGGTGTGTGACCATTTTGTTTCCGGATACCTGTCTACAACCGGATGGAGGGCGGTAACACTGAGTGCACACAGTACACTGCCTTTCCCAGACTACAATGCCTGCTTGCTTTGGTGATGTACGTGGGTTTTTGTTTTGTCGTGTCTTGTTCAGTGGGTTGCTAGTTACCTTTCTGACGTTGAAGCACATGGAGAGTACAGGCGGTCAAATGAAGTGGCCAATGTTCTACATTCACCGTTTCTTGAGGTAAGTATCGTGCTGGTTTTGAGGTTGCCGCGCTTTGTAACGAGTGGGTATTCACGTTTATTTCACGTACTAGTAAATATGCATGGCAGGTCTCCTTTCTCTGCGTTCAGGATCACTTTTGCAGTCTCGATCTTGTTTGCGTTGCCAAATTGCCTGTGAAAACTTATTTTACTCCTGTTAGCTAATGTTAGCTAATGTTAGCTAATGGCAGTGACAAACCGATTATGGTTCAGTGTTGTTGCCTTGTTGGACATACCGTCCTCTTCTTCTTCGTCGTCTTCTTCTTCTTCTTCTTCTTCTTCTTCTTCTTCTTCTTCTTCTTCTTCTTCTTCTTCTTCTTCTTCTTCTTCTTCTTCTTCTTCTTCTTCTTCTTCTTCTTCTTCTTCTTCTTCTTCTTCTTCTTCACAAGACAATACTCCGCAATAAAAGAAATGGAATGTGCCGAGGCAGCGATCTCTGAAGCTAGTCCAACTAACCTCCAGCAAGGCAGGGCAGGACTCGGCTTTAGGCATGACAAACAAGAGAAAATCAAACCTAGAAAACAAATACTCAATACCATTCATGAAGGTGACTGCCAAGACCAGCTATCCCACCTCAAAAGCCTGCAAATGCAAGGCAGCTGGTTAAAGTGGAGAGACACGATGTTTGAAGACCTCACTTGGAAAAAACTGTTGTACGAAGGCTACGGGAGGACTTTCTCCTTTCAACTAAACTGTGTATTAAACACACTACCAACAGTTGACAATCTGAGGAGGTGGGGTAACTCTGTGGTCGAACAACAATGCCCTCTATGCAACAGGCAAGCTACGCTCCGTCACATATTATCAGCATGTCCAACAGCCCTCCACCAGGGCAGATATACCTGGCGCCACGACAACGTACTGAAATGCATAGTAAAACTAGTAAACGAAACCATCCAAACTTATCAAAAGGCCACGGCATCAGCAGAAACGCAGAGTAAACAGAAGAGAATTGATGACATAACTTTCTGCAAGGCAGGAGAGAATCTCCCCAAACAGCCCCCCTCCCAACGCAAACGGCTAAATGACCAATTCGTAACTAGCTCAGCAGACTGGCAGGTCCTGGTGGACATGAAGGATGAGAAACTTGTTTTCCCCCACTTCATAGCACCTACAACCTGTCGTCCAGACATAGTGCTCTTCTCCAAAGAATTGAGAAGAGTTCTGTGGCTGGAACTCACGGTATGTAGTGAAGATCGCTTTGCACAATCGCGCGAAATCAAAATCGAACGCTATCGTCACCTTCATAGCGCGTGTGTAAGGAATGGCTGGGATACGGAAAGTCACACAGCAGAGGTGGGAGCGAGAGGCGCCATATCCACCAGCTTGGATTCCTTCGCGAGATCCTTGCGCTGCACTAAGGAACAGCGCAGGCTCTTGCGGAGGAATTGTCGCCAAGCAGCGCTGAACTCAAGCTATGTCCTATGGCTAAGGCGAAGGGAGCGAACATGGCGCGACTGGCCGTTGTATTAAAACTGTTTGGTGAACCTGTTGTAGAGCACTTGGTGGGCGATCGGCCACCCAGCGAGGATAGTTGGACGTCCTTAAAATCAAGATTTGAACTCGCCATTCCGGCCTCTAAAGGGCCGGGGGTGGACGATCGCCAACCTTGCCAACCTCTCGTAGTCACTTGTTCTTGTCGAATCGTTATTTTTCATAGCCTACTCGACATTCGCCCTACAAATTACCATACATCACAACGCAACTACCTGTACATGACACACCATACCATACGGACACAACCACACCCCAACTGTACTGGGGGCCTATCTCTTCGAATTGCATTATATGAGTTTCTTTTTCCTTTTTTCTTTACCCGTTACTGTCTAAAAAGCAGTCGAAACGGTTTTTTATCCACCATTTGATGGTGAGCATTTCCCTTCTTCTTCTTCTTCTTCTTCTCCTCGAGCTTTCGTTAGTTTTTTTTCTTCGTTTTTCTAGTTTACTTGCTTGTGCTGCGCCGCACTGGAGCGAGTCTATCAGTAGATGCTTTCGCCGCATAGAGCTACTATTGCACAAAGCCACAACACTGCGCGCTGCCATTCGCTGTATGCTTTCGCTGCACCAAGCTGCTGTTTAGCTGCACGACGCCACAACACAACTTCACTACAACAGTCTCGTCCACAACTTCACTACAAGAGTCTCGTCCATATTGCACTACGCTGAGCACTGGCCTGCTCCCGCTCTGAAGAGCTTTTTAGCCTTCACCGTTTTTGCTCAACCTCAGGCATTGGCCCACAGTGGCATCCGTTTCCTTTTTTCTTTTTCTTTTCTCCTTTTACTTTCTCCGTCACTGCCTAAAAAACAGTCGAGACGGTTTTTTACCCACCAGTTTTTATTGGTGCGAATTACTTTCCTTCTTCTTCTTCTTCTTCTTCTTCTTCTTCTTCTTCTTCTTCTTCTTCTTCTTCTTCTTCTTCTTCTTCTTCTTCTTCTTCTTCTTCTTCTTCTTCTTCTTCTTCTTCTTCTTCTTCTTCTTCTTCTTCTTCTTCTTCTTCTTCTTCTTCTTCTTCTTCTTCTTCTTCTTCTTCTTCTGGTTTTTCTGTTCTTTTCTGTGGTTATAATGCATATATACATGTGTGCATGCACCCATATCTGCTGCTGCTGCTGCTGCTGCTGCTGCTGCTGCTGCTGCTGCTGCTGCTGCTTATGTGTTGTATGGATATGTGCAGGTTGACCCCGCTGTACATGTTTGTCATTCTGATGGTAATATACGTGACACCGTACATTGGCCAGGGACCAATATGGCCGCACCTGATGCAGGGTATGGGTGACACCTGCAAGAAGTACTGGTGGACCAATCTGCTCTACATCAACAACTTCTATCCCACTGGTCTGGCCAGCGAGGTGAGGACGTGTGAGCGTGTCCACCTGGTTGGGCTACGGTTGTGATCCGTCTTCTCCCCTTCCCTGTCGAGCATTGTCATGTCAATACTGCGGATGGATGTGTCGATGCTTAGTATCTTATTTGTTTTTGAAACCAGCCATGCATCCACCAGGACCACCACGCCATCAAGTCACATGATCAAGTATGCTTGCAGTCATGCTTGTCCACACACTGCATGCAGCGCAGTGCTACATGCTGGCCAGAATGCCACACCATCCTGTTTTCATTGGGCTTGGATTTCATTTGCCCCATCTATTATAGTCTTGGGAGAAGTACAGTCTGTAGAATGTTCAGTGTTTGACACAGCGGCAGGCAATCTTCATGTGTTCATGTATTGCACTGAGCAACAAACTACTGTACTTCAATACACTTGCATACTAGTGCTGTTTCTGATAGTAATCCTGATGTTCCTGTGTATTGTGTTTTTGTATATGTACGTGTGTGTGCACGAGCGCGTGCGTGTGTGTGTGTTTGCACGTGTTCGTGTGTATTATGTTTGCGTTGTGATCAGTGTATTGGCTGGTCGTGGTACTTGGCCAATGACATGCAGTTCTTCATCATCAGTCCCATTGTCATCGTAGCTGCTTACCGGTATGTAACTACACGAACACAGCACACCATGTCATGCGTGCTTAGACATGCTTGTGCTATGCGCTTGCACCCGCGCACATACACACACACACACCTTCATTCCTTCCTTCTTCCACTGCCATGACTGATATGATAAAACGAGAAAGAGAAAGAGGGCCAGTTTGGATTCGTCGTAACTCAAAGTTTCTTGCTACTGCAATCATCAGACAACTCATCGGGCACTTTGTTGGCAATTTGCCGAAAATTACTCCTTTGCAATTATGATAACTATGTACAGTATGTAGCTTTGCAAGTTTGCATGATAGTGTGTGTTGTCCTGTGCTCAGTTGTAGTTTGCATGATAGTGTGTGTTGTCCTGTGCTCAGTTGTAATGTATGATGGTGTGTTGTCCTGTGCTCAGTTGTAATGTATGATGGTGTGTTGTCCTGTGCTCAGTTGTAGTTTGCATGATAGTGTGTGTTGTCCTGTGCTCAGTTGTAGTGTATGATATGCTTGTACTATTTTGCTGCTTGCTATTGCTGTTTGTGTGATCAGATTCCACAAGGCCGGCGTCGCTGTTACCTGTGGATTCCTGATCGTGTCGTGCATCATCATTCGTGCTGCGCTCACCTACTCCTTCAATGATCATCTGAGTGTATTTACGTTTGGCGTCAACACGGACCAGATGCCCGTGGCGGTTAGGTAGGTGTGAGTATGGGCAAGAGTTCATAACCCCCAAGAGTGTGCAACTCCTGATCAGTCCCTGTATGGAAGCCCGCTCGGCGGAATTCCTTCATTGCGTCATTTTTGGTGCAGTGCGATGAGTCACGCCGATGAATTCTTCTAAAATTTACAGTCAAACCAGGATGCTTGAAAAGACCAAAAATAGGGATTCACTGGCCAGAAAAATCACTTCAAATAGCTGTATGGTGTAGACCAGGCTAAATAGTGACGATCAATTCTTCAGCCTTGCAAGCTGTTGAATGGTGCAATCCCAGCACAAGTAAATTAGTTGCTATGGCTTCTGCCATAGCATTGCTATCATCGCCTCCGGCGATGGGCGTCAAAAGGTCAAAGGTGTGTGTGTGCGTGCGTACAGTGCAAAGTGACTACCAGAGAGCTGCACCCAAAGCAGGGCTGCCTACAACCCTGTAGCAATAGTGCATACCCCCCCCCCCCTAGCAGTTTTACACTGCTGGGGGTATGTACTCTTGTTACATGTACCACCGTACTAGTGGAGTCTCGTAGCAAAGTGGTCTTTATGGCTACGTCAACCGATTTTGAGACCCTGATTATTATTTAAATTCCTGTCCACAGGTGTATGCGTATCTGATTCACAAAGGCATGCTGATAGATGAAGGCACTCTTCAAAGTGTCGTACTTCCATAGACGACTACTTCACCGTATATACAATGTACATTGTCATACATGTAGTCACTTGTTTGTACGCCAATCTGCTAGTGCTGGTGCAGATGCTGGTAATAAAGGTGTGTGTGGTTGTGTGTATGCATGTGGGTGCGTGTGTTCTTGATTGTGTATGTGCGTTTCAGACCAACTCGCAACATGGGAGATGTACTGTACACCAAGCCGTACACTCGTGTTGCTACCTACGCTATCGGTATGGTCGTGGGCTATACTATTCGCAGAATGCCTAACTCTGTTCATACGCTGCCTCGAGTAAGTAACTCATCTACATGTATGTCCCTGCTGGGGGGGGGGGGGGGAAGAAAGAAAAGGATTTCATGGTTGGCATCAGAATGTCTGATTGTCTTTTCGCAACTGCCCTCGATGCTCAGCAAGGTAGATTCCTCCTTCTTCTTTTTTCAGATACAGCATGAGTGTGCGTAAATTCTTCCCCATTGCCCCATTGTGTTGCACTTCGGAGTAGCAGTAGAAGTTGACTGATTGTATTTATAGCATCGAAACTGTCCCAGAAGAGTTGATCAGTCGCCATGCGAATCATTTAGTATTCATGTTTGTGTAGATATTGTCATAATTCTTCTTGCTGACCAGTGGAAGACACACTGCATGTCACTATACCCGCTCTCTTGCAGTGGAAGACACACTGCCTGTCACTATACCCGCTCTCTTGCTGTGGAAGACACACTGCCTGTCACTATACCCGCTCTCTTGCTGCTCTCTTGCTGCCAGCACTGCTCTAACTGTTGTGTTTTTCTGTGTGTGTGCATACGTGCGCGCGTGTGTCTGTCCGTGTGTGTGTGTGTGTTTAGTCATCTCGGCTAGTGATAGCTACCCTGGCGTGGATGCTGGCTGCCATTCTGCTGCTTGCGCCTGTCTTTGGCCTCACACACATGTACAAGCACTCGACTATCCTGTCAATGTCGGCTAGTATCATGTACAACGGCTTCGGTCGGGTCAGCTGGGGACTGGGTCTGGCCATCTTGGTCCTGGCATGCCACTCGGGATATGGCGGTACGTTCACAAGCATGTGTTTAACGTGTATGGTGCCTCTGTGCAATCAGGAAGATGTTTGATGGATCCTTCCCCGTGCATGTCACCTGCATACTATCATTACCGTAAAGTCGCGGATAAAAGCCGGGTTTGCATACAAGCACATCGCGGATAGAAGCCTGAAAATCAAACGGGTCAAATGCATATAAGCCTGTCGCGCGTAGAAGCCTGGCTTCTATGCAAGCGCGGATCGGGTGGGTCAAGAGTGCATGCGCTATGTACAGTGCATAGTAAAACTGCTGCCATACCGGTAGTCAGTGGTAGAGTCGCGCGTAGAAGTCTGGCTTCTATGCAAGCCCGGATCGGCCGATGTTCATACAAGCCTGGCAAAAATATCAGTGGTGCATATAAGCATGGTTTGCATACAAGCCTGGTTTGCATTGAAGCCTGATGCAGAAAGCGGCTTATGTGCTTATAAGCCCGGCTTTTATCCACGACTTTACGGTATTATCATTACATGTCTGACTGCGTGTCCCTCTGTACAGGCGTACAGACTGATGGAAGGGCAGTTTTCCTATCGCATTACGTCACATATTGACTTTTGATCCGAATTGTTCTTCTAGAATCTTCCCAAAATGTGCCCATTGTGAAAAGGAAGCTAGTGATGTACTGGGTGACCAGCTAGTGATGGACTGGGTGACCAGCTAGTGATGTACTGGGTGACCAGCTAGTGATGTACTGGGTGACCAGCTAGTGATGTACTGGGTGACCAGCTAGTGATGTACTGGGTGACCAGCTAGTGATGTACTGGGTGACCAGCTAGTGATGTACTGGGTGACCAGCTAGAATATGATATGGGGACAAAGAATGTATGCTGATGATGCTCCAGGATACATGCCAGTACATGTACATGTAGATGTCTTCCTCCACACGTTTGTGGGGATATTTCCAACTACAGGTCTGCCCGCGTTAGTAGACAACCCTATGGTTTTCCCAAAAATGTCCTTTAACGAGATGTATCTACTACCGTAAAGTCTTGTATAAAAGCCGCCCTCGAATAGAAGCCGCAATTTTTTTGGGCCCATCAAATCGCACATAAGCCTGGTTTTAGTGTTGACATACATAGAAATACCTGTCTTGTATGGAAGCCTGTCTCATATAGAAGCCTGCAAATTTTCACCAAGAAAGTCATGGAAGCCGCGGCTTTCATACAAGACTTTACGGTATGCGGACTTGCATGTACGACTGTTAGATGCGTCTCAGGCGTCGGGGAATTTCGAATCGTTGTCGAAGTTACAAATGAGGTTTGTTTTGTAACCGATGTCGTACCAACGAGGGTACACCTGTATAACTGTGGTAAAGTGTAAATCCCCAAAAAAGTAGAAGATTGACTGGATTGATCTTGCCTCTGTGTGTGCGTGCGCGTGTGTGTGTGCGTTGCTGTGCACACAGGTTTTGTGAATGGCATCCTGTCTCACCCCATGTGGATTCCTCTGAGTCGCCTGACGTATGGTGCCTACCTGGTCCATCCCGTCATTCTCTTTCTCATGTTCTCCGGTGTTGGACAAGCGGTGTACTTCACCGATACGATCATGGTAAGCTAACACAGCACGCGCCCTACGGTAATCTAGCAACTTTCTTCAAGGGAATCTCCTTATATCAATGCTGGGCCATCGTCGCCACCACTGTCAGTACTTTGCTTCCTATTGATGAACATTGTTGTCTGCTGCTGCTGCTCTCTGTCTCTCTCTCTCTCTCTCTCTCTCTCTCTCTCTCTCTCTCTCTCTCTCTCTCTCTCTCTCTCTCTCTCTCTCTCTCTCTCTCTCTCTCTCTCTCTCTCTCTCTCTCTCTCTCTCTCTCTCTCTCTCTCTCTCTCCTCCATTCTTCAGATATTCTACTATCTAGCAGCACTCACATCATCCTACATTCTGTCACTGGTCTTTGCCGTGCTTCTGGAGTACCCGCTACTAGCCGTGGAATCCCGCCTTGTTGGTCGCTAATACACGCACTCTCTGTGCTGCATGTTAACATCCTAGCATGCTAGCATGTATGCCAGCAGCAGCTCTGGTTTGACAGGATTATAATGTACCTAGGTGCACCTACAAGTCGGCAGTCCCGTGCAAATACAGGGAGCTGCGGCCTCCACCGGTTATCTGCTGTGCACTGTGAAGCATTGTGTATAGTTATCAGAGTGCTGGTTTCTCACGTCGCTTTGCTTGAAATACTCCGACATCAGAATGCCACTACGAACTCCAAGTTGCACGGCTCTAACCGAATTGCCGGTATTCAAACTGCTTGTTGCTTGCAGGTCAAGTCCTGTGCAGACAGCTCATATAGCAACACCAGCACTATAATTCTTCACTGATATACGCCAGCTCATCACTGGCTCTCTTTTATACACCTCTATTTCAGCTCCCATTAATCTTATTTGCGTTTCAATTTTTGTTTTCCTCTTCCACCCTAGCAGCTGCACCTTTTTTTATTATTTGTAAGCGACAGTTTCTTACTTACATTTCTTAGCCTAGTTTTATTGTGCCTAGCCTACAGTTTCACCATTTGACTAGTAGCCCTGTAGCTGGTTTCAGCTGGTATCTGCAAGCATGCTCTGGGCACCATCCATATTGAGGATTCATATTTTAGAACGATTGCTGTAAGGTGAACGCCCGCATTCGTTTGTCTCTCTTATCAGCAAATTTCTATTACGCCGGCCATTTGTGTACACAATATTGTAACATTTCCATAGGGTACTAGTAACGACGACTCTACCACACATAACTGCCCTATTGCAGTAGGAAAAAGCTGGCTGCTATATTAAAATATACAGTCAATTTCGCTAATAAGTTATACCGACTGCGGATATAACAACAGAATTTCCATGCCCAGAGCAAAGTCCCATCTACTTCGAAGTAACTGTAATGCATATACATGTAATGAGACTTCGGGTATGACACTTCGCAAATAAGGACACTTTTCTAATGCCCCGCCGAGTGTCGTTATACGCAAAGTTGACTGTAGTAACGTTCAAACTAGCGCTTTTCCATAGCCAACTCGCCAACGTCGTATGCAGGCACTAATCGAATGAGCGGTGCAAGCCAATAGATATGCCAAATAATCTGTCCCCGGGGAAAATCGTGGAAAAAATCCCGGAATTTGCGGGTAAAAATGGCATATGCGGTGAATTTGCCGTAAATATGCGGTGAATATTATTGATATACGGCAAGTTTGCAGTTGATATGAGGCAATTTTCAGTGAGTATGTAGTGAAATCAATCAGTTACAAGTCTCTGGTGTAAGCATTCGTCATATTTGAGTACAAAGCCGCCACGATGAGACGTTGCTTACGAACAGTGCACTGTGTGTACGCGTAGTGCAACAAAAAATTGCGGAAAAATTGTGGAAAACGCGGTCTTTAAAAAAATCGCGGAAAAAACACGGCCTCGAAATCGCGATTTTCCCCGGGGACAGAATGTTATGTGCAACTATATATACTAGACTTGGGAGGGCATTGCAGAGTACACTGTAGTTGCTAACAAAGTTCAAAGTCGTATGGTTGCCTATGACTTGTGCTCCTGAGCTGCGGGCCTACCATACCATGCACACATTGTACTGTGTGTGTGCAGTAGTGCAACTGGTGTGCAATGCCCTCCCATGTCTAGTTGCCCGTTATTTGGCATTATGACAGGTTGTGTCACCCGTGACCGTTCTGCTCCCTGCTCACTCGCACACACACACACACACACACACACACACACACACACACACACACACACACACCATGTACCACACGCACGCAAGCACACGCACAGACACACACACACACACACACACACACACAACCAGCAGAGGAGGAAACTACATGTACTGGCGAGTGTTGATGGACATTGACTGCTAGTGGAGTCTGGATGTACGCGGTGTGCAAGAAGACTAGGAGGCAGCCGCGTTAGATGAGAAGTAGTTGTAGAAGTAGCAAGAGTCCATGATCCCCAGCGGGATTATGGGCTCTTGCCTTGGTAGTAGTATTAGTAGAGTTGAAGGAGAAGAGCAGATTGAAAACAGGATAAGAGATGTCACAGGCATAGCTACATGTATAATAGATTAACACAGCGAAATACAGGCCAGATGAACATGCGCAGCTAGGATGATGATGAAACACAAAGCAAAGACGGAGGAGAATGATTCTAAGATGTCCTGTAGGTAGAGTCTCCACTGATGGATACAAGCGACTACAAGCAGAGTTGCAGGGAGCGGATGAGATAGGGTTAAGTACGACAAAAGAAGAAAGGACATGCTCACACGCAAGCATGATACACACACACACACACACACACACACACACACACACACACACACATACACACACACACACACACACACGACTGCAAGAGACTGTATACACTATTATTGATACGTCGATCTGCACCAGTAAAGCAGACACGGTGCGCAGGACACAGGCAATGGGAGCGCGGCGGTGGAGACTAGTGCCTACTGGCCACAGGAGTAAATGAAGAAGAAGAGTGTACATAGTCACATCAGGTCATTGCTAACCACCCGCTTAGCTGCAGGCCAAGCAGGTGAGCACAAGTAAATTAACGGAATGCATGGCATGGGCGTGTGTGTCCACCTGACCAAGCCAAAGAAATACGGAGAAATGAACACCAAAGGAGAGTGGGGATAAAGCAACACAAAGGCAGCCACCAGTAAAACGCCACTGCAAGTGTCTACAGAAAGCACAAAAAGCACAAAAGCGTGCATGCACACACACACACACACACACACACACACACACACACACACACACACACACACACACACACGCATGCAAGAGTAAGGCAAGATGCTATGTACATACTTTCTGTCATGTACCCCGTCCCATGTGTGTGTGTGTGTGTGTGTGTGTGTGTGTGTGTGTGTGGGTGTGTGTGTCCCATATGGTGCAGTGGTATGTGCAGCGATTTCAATCGATAGATTGCGGGTTCGATTCCCGACGATTATGGTCACACACGTCTTTCTTCTCTTTCTCAGACTCTTCCTGACTTTTTCTTTCATTCTCCTGGGTGGTTACCAACAGCCAGTGCATGCCGGAGTATGTGGTGTGATGTGTGTGCGGGAAAAAATAAATAAAATAAAATGAAAAGACCAAAAATAGGGATTCACTGGCCAGAAAATGTCACTCCAAATAGCTGTATGTGGAGACCAGGCTGAATAGTGACGGTCAATTCTTCAGCCTTGCAAACTGGTTGAATGGTGTAATCCCAGCACAAGTTGCTATGGCTTCTGCCGTAGCATTGCTATCATCGCCTCTGGCGATGGGCGTCAAAGGTCAAAAGGTGTGTGTGTGTGTGTGTGTGTGAGTGTGGGTGTGCGAGAAAGAAAGAAAGAGAGAGAGAGAGAGAGAGAGAGAGAGAGAGAGAGAGAGAGAGAGAGAGAGAGAGAGAGAGAGAGAGAGAGAGAGAGAGAGAATGAGAGAGAGAGAGAGAGAGAGAGAGAGAGAAGAGAGAGAGAGAGAGAATGAGAGAGAGAGAGAGAATGTGAGAGAGAGAGAGAATGTGAGAGAGAGAGAGAATGTGAGAGAGAGAGAGAATGTGAGAGAGAGAGAGAATGTGAGAGAGAGAGAGAATGTGAGAGAGAGAGAGAGAGAGAGAGAGAGAGAGAGAGAGAGAGAGAGAGAGAGAGAGAGAGAGAGAGAGAGAGAGAGAGAGAGAGAGAGAGAGAGAGAGAGAGAGAGAGAGAGAGAGAGAGAGAGAGAGAGAGAGAGAGAGAGAGAGAGAGAGAGAGAGAGAGAGAGAGAGAGAGAGAGAGAGAGAGAGAGAGAGAGAGAGAGAGAGAGAGAGAGAGAGACAGTTATGCCGTGCTATCAGGAGTAGAGAGGTCGACAACAAAAGTTCGTACTTTGAAGTGAGATTTGACCGTTACGGCCTGGAGTAACGAAAATTCGTACAACATTCGTCAACTTTCGACGGAAAAGAGCTCAACAGCATCTATGTTCCTTGCAATTACCGTATTGTCACGAGGTCATAGATGACCCTACATACCGTCACACACTTGGAGGGTGCATGTCTGACTGTCAACAATTATTTCCTGCAGTCGAGGAAAAACTTCAAGTTCCCACTGTTGTGCAAGCTCTGAATCAACTCGGACTTGCGTAGATTCTTTCGTTGCCGCCTGATACGTCGAACGCTACGGAATTTAGTATCAAGAGTACATAACCTCCCAAGAGTGTGTTACTCAGGATACCCCTTCTATAGGGTCTACCAACGGCGAAAACTCACATCACATGGTGCAGTGTTGTGCGTTCCCAGCCAGTTTTTAGCCAGCAGTGGAGTAGTAAATAGCACTCCCTGACAGAAACCCATCCAGCTACATGTCTATGTGAGTCATCAGCTTGATCATGGCAGATATTTGGATTGCGCGCACGCCGGCCGTCGTTGTACATAGTGCGAAATGTCTTGGATCACGTCATGTGAGTTTTCACCGCCGGAGACCTCATACCGTATGTCCGCACCTATAAAGCCATGGAAGGATATTCGATTACAAAGCCAGTCTCAGTAATAAAGCCAGGGGCTTCATAAATGAAATGACATTTGAAGTATCTTTTGTAAAAAATGAAGGAATAAGTATTATACTAACAAACTTACAGCCCAGCAGGAAGGGTGGACAAGTGGATCTAGATTGAAATTTCTGTGTGGACTTTGACTTTTATGGCATGGTGTAGTGGGCGAGTCATTTTGCATCAAATAGCTAGGAAAGCAGCGGTGTTTCGAATATAAAGTCATGGCTTTACAGGCGCTGACATACGGTATGCAGAGTTACACACTCTTGAGAGCTTATTTACTTTTGGTAGTACATGTGTGCGCAACCTCTCTAGTTTTAAGCCTGCCGTTTAAGCGACATTACGGTCAGAGAGATACAAGAAGAGACGTCCAGTATGGATTCACTAACCATCATGGTGCTAGGCTGTCATCGTCATCATTCATCAATGCACGTCTTGACGCTGCTCACTATTTCTGAAACAGCATCCTGCATGGACAGCCAAGAGAGAAGGGAATTGTTAAACTCACACACTCACAATATGCGCACAGTTATTTAAAGCAATAGGTATATCCTGGCGTGTGAATACAGTGTCCAGAAGTCAGAGCACAGCAGATCTGCACAGGGTAGCGGTGAAAACTGCACTGCACGTCCAAGGAATCTGATGCTATTGATGACATCAATTCGCAGCACCAGGTCATCTGTTATAGCGCAGTGAAACTTCAGAACCACCAAAGGACACGTAAATCAGGAATGAACATTAATATTTGTTAACTCCACGGTTCGCGCGAGACTCGGTTCAACCAAATTTTCCGCATCCGTAGGAACGCCACCACCCTCAAGGATCAAGGTGCAGACGCAGCTCCTAAAGCGGTGGATGGAACAGTATCCGACGAAAAGAACACGTTTGTTTAGAATCACAAAATCCGCTTTTAAGTTCGTGTACCTTCTCCGTTCGCGAACAGGAAAGCAAACTTTTGCATTTCTCGTCCCAAAAAAGGAGTCAGCACACAAAGCATGGATTCGTCCCAGGACAGTCATAAATTTACTACGTTGTACTGTCGATACATGTGCACAACCTGTCAACACCATGGGAGTGCAAATTCTGTTTGCTGGCCCTCTACGAAATGGAAAATTCGTCACCGAGCTCAACTTTCCTTGGTGTGCGAACCAGAACACGAAATTCGCCTTGCTAAACCTCCAAGTCCGAGGTATCGAGTATACAGAACTAGCATCGCACAACAAGCTCACCTATCTTGATAAACTACAACTTACAATTGGCTTGTCTTCGACTATGGTGTTGATGATCTTTGAAGCAGCAGGACACAGGCTGCTCAGCGGGCACGAGTAGAGGGAGAGTAGTTCAGCACGACTGTAGGCTACGCGTGTCCTGGTGGACAGCACATTTGCCGAGCTTGCCATGGAGCGCGCGTTACAGTCTGTCACCAACAGGTATGCACACACACATACGAGACACACAGCTATAAGCTATTGGCAACAACCCCCTCCCCTCTGAAAGATTCACTTCTAAATGGCAAATCCCTGTAGGATATGCAGCCTATGTGCTAGTCAGATGTTCCAAGAAAGAAAGCAAACATGCCACATGCACACACAGAAGACACTAACAAGAACTACATGTAACTACAGCTATAAGAACTACTTCAAAGTAATAGCAATTTGAGCTATCTAAGCTATCTCAGCTATTCATCATGGCCAATACTGCCACACCAGCACGATAGAAGTACTTCAGTAAGTGAATATCATAGAGTACTGTTGACCCCCTCCCTCCAACGCCATGCTGCTTCCCAGCTGGTTTTTGGCAGGGGGCAGGAAATAGATCAAGGCTTCTCAGGTGCAGTACTATTTCCAACTACACGAAAGATCAAACTTGCCGTGCTCGATTGTGCACATCTTTTTGTCCACAGGCATACCCGCACTGCACTGGATAGCGTACAGTCGTGCATGCGTCGGTTAAACACCGTATTTTGATGCATGCGCTGAAGTCTTTTCACGGGTAGAAATTCGACAGGGGGCGGACCAACGGCCCATTGAGCATTTTATGTCACCGTACACAGGATCTACGGGTATTTCAGGCTGCGTTTACATGAGAAGTTTCAACCAGTGTTGAAAGTCTGTGCGGTGGAAAATAAAGGTGGGTATTTACATCAAGATTGTTGACCCAGCCGAAGTACTGATATGCCAACAAAAGTCCATTTCTCTAGACTGGTATGGTCGCGCGACTACTTTCGCGGGGAAATTCGGATCTGCAATGCCATTCAGTCCTAACGCGAAGTACGCATATGTATGGCAGTACGATATCTCAACGATTTCAAACCCCTCCTAGGGGGAGGGTTGGAATCAACCCGGGCCAAGCGCAATGCGTCATGTAAACAATCCAGCCAATTTGTGTTCATGGCAGGTTGAAACTTGACACGGGGGCTGAAAAACCGCAAGCGCAGACTCAATGCCTGCGATAGAATAATGAGCATCACTTTCCATCTCACTCACACACCAATTAATCTGCCTGGACAATTGAATTAGAACGCTTTGTTAGCCCAGGACAACATTCACTGCAGCTCTAGTATTAAACGTTATAATACAATGCAAACTACTCTAACCGGCGGCGTTTGTAGAACAGTTCAGTTCAGTATTCTTTTCTGAAAGGCGATCTTCAATCTGAACATGACCATATATGTACACACACGCACACACACGCACACACATGCACACACATGCACACACACACACACATGCACACACACACACACACACACACACACACACACACACACACACACACACACTTGCACACACACATATGTACACACATGCACACAAGCGGGCATGTAGTGGAAAGACGGGAAGAAAAAAAAGCAAGTCGAGGGCGGAATGGCCGGGTATCAAACTACAGTCCATTTCAAAACTATAGACGCGTAGGGTTTTTGAAATATTTCAAATTTGGCTGGAACTTTTTGAGAATAGTTTTCGGAATATTGCTCAGGACCGCTCCACAATTACTCTCATATAGTTTCTAAACGATTGGATAACAGACGCCCAATTTGGAAAAATGTATGCACAAAGTGATCACAGATTTTATGTGGTATAGATGCTGGTATAACGGTTTTTGCCTAGGTACGCGTCTATAGTTTTGAAATGAACTGTACAAAGTCCAATGCCAGACTGCAACAACAAAGACAAGTACCAAATTGTAAGAAAGAGAAAGACGTCCACACAGAGTACAATACAACAGATAGCACACAACACTACACATGACCGGAGGAAGGAGACTACATGTACTTCGATTGGTGTCAGATGTACCTACAGAAGCTTGGAACATATTGCAATATAACTAGACGGCATGCAATGCTGCTACATGTGCACGAGTAAGCATGCACACAAGCAGCTCTCATCACACAAACCGTTAACAGAATGTTCCGAATTCTGGAGTGCACGTCGTCAAGCAGCGCTTGGCTGCCAGCCGTGACATTTTGGATAAGAGCATAAAGATTCCCCGTTTGAATGTCTAAATCGAAGCACAAACAATGCCGCAGACACACACACACACACACACACACACACACACACACACACACGCACACACCCACACACACAAGCATACATGCAGAAAGAGTAAGCACATGAAAGTAGATAAAAAAATTCATTTCTTCATTACTTCAAGACGATACTTGACCCACATGTAGTGCATTGGAACTCGTGCCAGATGGGTCTATCCAGTGCCTTCGGAGCAAGCGCTTGCAGGTCGGGGCTCTACACGGTCAGTACACGAAAAGTACAAATCTGCCTGCATTTTGCAAATGCACAAATACAAGCAAGACTGCATAGTGCATACTGAACAAGACACGGCGTACACACGACTTTACTCTTACCCTGCAGCACACTGGTCGGCAAAGCAAACTTGACTTTTTGGCCTTCATCCATGAGCATAGCACCAGCTATGGCATTGCACTTGCCAAGGTTCACCAGCCGGTAATCGTCAACCTGCACTTACAAATATCAATACAATGGAATAGCAGCAGCAGCAACAGCAGCAGCAACCACTACTGATCAGCAACTAAATTGCTTCCTAAAATCCCAAGTCTCTTCTTTCTTTTGATGAAAATACCAAAAGGCGAGTACAACAAAGCTCTCTCCCTCTCCTCCTCACCCCCCCCCCCCTCTCTTTATAGGAAAGGGGACTAAAGCCAGTTGACAACGCAATTGCCATTGTTCGCCAAGAAAACATACTGGGACTGGTTAGCAGAACACAGGAACACGCACTGCACCGGCACTTACTACTTACCGAGGGCGACCGGACAAGTGCACTTTTCGACGGCGGCTGTTGCTTTTGCTCTTGCTGTTGCACCGACTGCACTGGCCTGGCTGGCTCTGGTGGTGATGCTGCAGAAGCCACTGCTGCCATTGCTGCAGGGGCAATATCTGCTGATTGCCGACGAACTGACACGGGTCTGCCAGCAGGCACAGTGGCATGAGAACTGAAAGTCGAGCTTCTATTGGATGACAATGGAACTGGTGTCACGGTAGTGACTGCTGCAGCTGCTGAAGTTGTGGCCACGACAGGTGTTGCGGTGGTGTTGAGAGGTACCTGGCTACTGCTGGCCTCTGTTAGAGCAGCAGCAACAGGAGCGGCAACAGGAGCGGCAGCGGCAGCAGCAGTCCCAGTATCAAAAGAGAGACTAGTGAATCGGAGGTTTGTTTCGGAAATTTCGGAAGTTGAAAATGTGGGCAAGGAGCCACGGACCACAACTCGTCCCCTGCCACGGCCAGATTGGTGGGAGGCATTAGGAGACTGAGAGACACGACCATTCGACGCAAACACAGAACGGGATAGTTCGTTCAGCGAGATCGTGTGGGTAGTGGTACCGGTAGCATTGATAATCGTGGTGCTATGTGCACCGTTGTTGTTGGTAGTAGTGGTAGTGTTTGCAGTGCTGTTGCTGCTGCCATTGATAGTGTTTGTGCTATCAGTGTAGCTGCTGGCATCTGGACTGCTGCTAGCAGGAGTGTTGGAGCTAGCATTACTGACGAGGGGTAGACCGCCTGGTAGAGAAGAGGATGCTGCACGTGATCGGATACCACGCCCGATTCCTGGAACTACATGTACACACACACACACACACGCACACAAACACACACACACACACACACACACACAAACACACACACGTGCGCACACACACGGATGCAAATGCGCACGTGTACACACAACACATGCGAGAGACACACCATGAGAGTCCGAGATACGCTCACAGAAAAATGGCACACAAGAGAATCTGCGAAATCATTCAGCCCTGGGTTGGCTCAATCTAATGCCCGGTATAGCATGCACAGGTAACTGTGATCAGTAAGCTTTTTACTAAGTTTTCAGTAGTGTACATTCCCACTCACGGGCACATGGTTTCCACTGATCAGTCGGCAACATGGTCTACAAAGTACAAGTGATCTACTTCAAACTTGCAACTTGACTTCAGCTTGCAAGCGAGGCATATGCCGGTCATGGATTACAAGAACTGTCATCAGCAGCAAATGTGACTGGCAGGTAGTCAAGTCAAATGTGTTGAACTCCATAGTGCTACTTACAACACGGTCCATTGCGCAAAGAGATACAGCAATGCTTTGCACCGACACAGGAATTACGCAAGGTGCAACAACGACACCCAACGTGTGCAAAGCAAGCTCACGCGTAACAGGACTATAGGATAGTTGCAAAAAGCAACGTTTCACGCTGCTCGCACCATGAGTCCAGCACAATAACGTACGGTCTATCTCATTGTTCTGAACTTTGCACAGCTGCATGGCATGTTAAAAGTTTGACCACTGCACTTGGTGCAATTCACAAATTTCTGCTAGTGCGACAATCAACACACTTTCCCGCCAGGAAGCTGGAAAACACTGACAGGCAACTAAGAGTGATGCTTCGTATGCTTGAGCGCGTACTAATAATTGCCGGCACGCATATCTCACATAACTAGTTCATAATATGCCTCAGGGTGGCCAACAAGACTCTTTCACTGTTTCTCTCACCCCCCCCCCCCCCCCCCCCCCTCTCTCTCCATACGAGTATACCCCAGAAACATTCTATTCAGACATACCAATGCTGACTGTGTGAGTGTGCGGTGCACTAATCAGAAACATTCTATTCAGACATACCAATGCTGACTGTGTGAGTGTGCGGTGCACTAATCAGAAACATTCTATTCAGACATACCAACGCTGACTGTGTGCGTGTGCGGTGCACTAATAGAGCCGGCAGGGGAGCTCAGACGCTTTCCAAGCACATTACAGCTTGTAGTCGCTGCAAAGTGATAAAGGCAAGCACACCAGCAGCCAAATATTTATCACGGACACATAAACAATAAACATTGAAGTCCCTGGGACCATTACTAGCATGCCAATTTACGTGTCAGTTTTGAAGGGGGGGGGGGGGGGGGGGGGAGTGTGTCAGTCCTCTATGTATTATTTTGCTTGGGCATCGCATAGAATGAAACTTGAGTTGCAAGCGAAACCTGGTTCAGCATTCTTTGTAAGGAAGTTCTATCCATTGTGGTGTTGAGCTCCATGGGGACAGATGGATAATTCCACTATGTGTCTCTTGTTCTTAACTGGCTAGTAAGAACACGTCATAAACTGTGAGTAGACTTGCACATATATGCACTGGGTCCTTCATGCCCAACTACTGTAGAAGTGAATGCTTTGAGAGCTGTAGAGGTGATCGGTGGTATCAGTACATGGACAAACAGACTTCGCCCTATCCTACGACTACATTAGATGCATTGACCTTGCCAAATACATCAGGCACTAAACTGTCATTAACCGACTAACTCAAAAGATGCACATGCACGTGCACGTGCACACACACACACTTCAGTACACACTTCACAGGGGCGTAGCACCCGCTACGACTGGTACGACCATGGCCGTACCACTTTTCGAAAAGTGCGGTCCGTCCGGAACGTGCAAAACCGTAATAAAAAAAATCAGGATCCATCAATGCATATGCGCAGACTTTGACCTTTTTCTAGACTCGTACTCGTAGATCTGTTGTGCATCTGCAGTCGTACTGAGTACTGTATACATGTACTCGACTGCGCACTGCGCCAGAAGTAACCCAGAACGCAGGATTTTGTGTCTTTTTTACAAAAATTTCCCGGGGGCGGACCCCCTCCAACACGGCCTTCGGTCGTACCACTTCCAAAACCCCTCCTACGCCCCTGCTTCAGTACACACACACACACACACACACACAATCGGGACCCACTCGTTTACCTTACCTGAGCTACTGACTTGGACATGGTGGGTGTGCGGAGCAGTTTGCTGTTTTAGAATTCTTCTGCTGACACCGTTGACAGAATCAGCGCATGCTGAAATGGTACCGGAAATGACACAATGACAAAAAAGAGCGAGCAGATTGTACATGTGCAATTGGACAGTGGCTACTGTTCCTACACCGCCTAATATGTCTCCCCTGGAAACCGGATTGTGGGAACGCGGGGGGTCAACGATATTAAGAGAGTTACTACATGCACCGTAACATGTTTACGGTGCATGTAGTAACTCTCCAGATGGTCCAACTCCACATAAACCCCTGCCATGCTATCATTCTCTGAATAGCATTATACATTTTCGTGATGTAATGACTGTGCACAAAGCCTCATGGCGTATGGCCCACCTCGCATCTCCAAGGCCTGCTTAGAGTAGGTTAACATTAGGCATTTGTACACTCTCTGGGCCAGGGAGTAGTAAAATACATAAACACCGTTTAGTAGTAAAAATGCAGTATGTACTTTACGCCTTAAAAACCTATTACTGTAAAGCGACAAACTTTCGCGGCGAACAAATTTAGCATTTTCATAAATTGGGCTGGTTTACGATGAGAAACTTTTGCGATTCTATCTCTTCAGTCGGATCTTGTACTGTCTACAATCAATGTACAGAGGGGTTTGCGGCGATTTATATTCGCGAATGTGTGATGGTCGTGAAAATAGCGAAATTTAATCTCTAGCGAAAGTTTCTCGCTTTACAGTATATAAATATTGAAAGAAAATAGTGAGCGCACTCATACCACGACACCCATTGAACCATATTGACGTTCAAATCCTTCAATATTGTTCCATTGGTGCCGTTACATTTATATTTCTTTCGATATTTTACTACTCTCTGCTTTGGACTGATGCAATCTTCACTCTACCAAGAGTACATGACGAATGTGCGAAGCAAAATTCTTGGATTACATCATTTTAGCAATGCAGTGCGTACATGTACAAGCAGTATTTAATTTAAGCAGCTCTCCTGGTACACAACTGCGTTCACTTGTTAGGTACAATGTACACGTACATATGGATGCAGCTAATGGGGTCGTTCTCGGCACTTGTGCCAGTGGTTGTGAGACTTATCCACTCACCCCCACCGTTAGGCGCTGCATCTGCCGCTAGGATTTACCGGGTGGTAGCGGCCGTCGTGAGTTCCCTTCGGGAACGGACACGATAATTTACTTTTTTTACTTTACACGTACATATTATAATGTATGTCACTTCTTCCACTTACAAAAACAACATGTTTTACAGCATGGCTTAATTCGAACATGCCGCTTAATTAGAAGTTTCCCCCAGGACCGATTTCTATCAATACGATTTCCACATAACAATTTCAGATAAATCGAACCTCAAACCGGGCATGTGCAGTCCCACAGAATCCACGTGCATAGAAAATGTGTGGGATTTGTGCTGATAATTCGAAGCTAGCAAAGCCTAATTAGAAGTTAACAGTACACTCTACAAGGCAGTTCAGTGTTCACAAAATCCCTGCCTTAGATGCATAGCGCAACTCTGCGCAACAATGCGAGCATTTTGAGTTTTCGACATATATGTAACATGACTGTACACATGGTACATGTACATGTATAACGTGTCATGAGTACATGTTTGCATAATTAGAATTTCCGGATAATTCCAAGTTTTTCCCTGGCATTATGAGGTTCGAATTATCAGGATTTCACCTGTGCTATGGTAGGGTGTGGCTGTGCTGCAGGGTACGGGTGTGTTGTGGTGTGTGTGTTGGAGAGAGAGAGAGAGAGGGGGGGGGGGGGGGAGGGAGAGAGAGAGAGAGTGTGTGTGTGCGCGCGCGCGGCGTGTGTGTGTGTGTGTAACTATTCGTGCACCACTACAGTACAGAGGTGAAGGACGTGCACAATCAATCCAGCACTGCACTGAGTGTGTGTGCTGTCAAGTGCATCCTGTCATGTCCACAGTCCGGTCTTGGTTGTTTTGACAAGCTGGCACTTTACTTATGATGATGTTATGTGCGTGCACACGCACATGTACATGTAAGTAGTACAAGACAAGTACAAGACTGGGTTCAGTAGGGCCATGATTGGCATGAATACAAGGCTGGGTTCAGTAGGGCCATGATTGGCATGAATACAAGACTTAGTCCACGCCGACCGCAAAACAAAAACATGTGGAACGTGAGAAATGTGCCAAAAACGTATAAAAAACCAATTTCCAATTCCGACAGTAGACTTTAGTGCATAATCCTATGTGAGCGTGGTCGAGGCATGAACTAATACTTTTCGTATACCATGAAAACACACAAGAGGACGTCAAAGCCATAGTCACATGTGTAACCCGGACAAGTATGATTCTCAGTCGGGAACATGAAAACATAGTCTGTTTGTAAAACAACTTGCGCAGCCATTCAAAACTATTGCTATTGGACAGCAATATAATTATGTTATAATAATAATCTAATAATCTGGATACACTGTACATTCAAAAGCGAATACTAGTAACGGCCGATAGGCTGAAAAACAACTAGCAGTCCACAATGAATCAACTCACTTGCACTTGATGCCGCCACGGGTCGCCGCAGACTGATATTGGGTTGTTGAACAGTTGTCATTGCAAGAAAATAATATTTTTGAAAGGTCAGGAGATGAACGTGGCCTCACTCGCCGAATGCTGCTTGGCAACGTGGCCCTCTACAGTATAGTAAAGATGGAGTGTTGCATCTGCATTCCGATTGTGGAAACAGGCAGTCAACTCGGGAGGCTCTCACATCAAAACATCCTGAACTGCCCAGCTATGCCCTTTCCTCCCGCAGGCCGGCCTGAACTGAAGCAAGACAGGGTACTAGTATTTACAAGGAAGGTTCTTTTTGCTTTCAGGTGCACTCTAGACTCTTGTGCCACTGTACTACATGTGTAGACGTCTCACGACCGACCGTGAACCATCGACCATGTGCACATGTGAGATGACAAATCAGTTTTTTTTGTCACAGTGTGTACACGTTGACGGGATTGCATATATCGGGCGACTGCAGAGCAGAGATCACGCATGCACGCAGGGATCTAGGGCCAAGGCTACAGCTCAGGGCCAGGGTACTAGGGTGTACTCTGACCTCTGAACTTTGTGAGCCCTGTATATACGGCTATATGCTTATACGGCCATACATGTATTACAGTGTATTATAATTATTTTGAAATTAATTTGAAATTTCTCACTTTTACTTATTATTATTATTATTAAAAAGCTTCCGTGGAGATAAAAATGTAATCAACGCAATAAATAGAGTAAGCTTTAGATCAGATCAGATCAGATCATTTACATTTGTAGATCAGTAGTTCCAAGAGTCCATAACCCCCCTCTTGGTAGTTCTCGTTTGTGGTTGCATGGTAACTTTCTAGTGGTGAATTTATCGCATCTGTTGTCACCTGATATCGTTGAATGGTGTAATGTTTCTTCAGCTCTCATTTTATCGCGCTAGTTAGGGTCTAAATTATTACTTGCATTGTGCGTATATATATTGAGTTAAGAGCTTTTGTTGATTTGCCAGTAATCCTCTGATGAGATGGCGACGAAAAAGTTTAGGAACAAGCTTCTTTATTTACATGAAAACAAGTTTTGCTTATGGTGTTTGTACTGAGTGCGCAGCTTACTCTATTTATAGCGTTGATTATTATTATTATTTAAATTTTGAATAAATAGAAAAGGCCGTTATTACCATGGCAACCTAACTAGAATTTCTCCTATAATATAGCCTATATCCATTTCTACTGACACGTACGTACATGTATATGGCCAAGTAGCACCTCATTTTGCAACATACTAGTACCGTATTTCCGCAAATAAAAGGCCGTCCTCGTATACAACGCCTTCCTCGTTTACAAGGCCGGGGCAGGGCCCCAGGGCGCGATTGAAAAAATAAAAGACCGTCTCCGATTAGAAGACCGGGCCTACTAAATGAGTCTTTGTTCTTGTGTTAAAAATGGAAGACCGTGCTCAAACTGTGGAAAAAATAGAAGACCGTGCTCAAACTGTGTAGAAGAAAATGGAAGAACGGGGGTAAAACTGTGTGGCGAGAAATAGAAGACCGGGGTCAAACTGGGTTGAAAGAATAAAAGACCGTCCTCGAATACAAGACCGTCCTCGATTATAAGGCCGGGTTAAGGGCGAGGTTGAAAAAATAGTAGACCGGCCTACTATTTGTGGAAATACGGTACTCCCCTTCCACCCAGTGCACAATCAGAGGCCCAAACGCGGGATGCCAAGGAAAAATCCATTACATGTACCTACACGGCAGGATAGTTCCCTGCCGCTGTCTGCCGTTCCGCCTCTGACATCGGTGTTGGACGGGCTTGAGCTTAGCAGCTCTTTAGAGGTGCGTGCGGAACCGCCATTGGTGCAGCCCTCGGGTGTGCCTAAGTCTGTGCCGCTGGGTGCTTTGCCTGGGGCTGTGCCTCGAGTGGTGACAGCACCTCTGCCTCCCCCTGACCCTCCTCCTTCGAGGTCTGTGCTGATGGGGAGCACCCGTGGCGCCGGAACCAGAGCTGGATTCAACAGAAAGACCAACAACCATGGCTGCAACAACAACACCAGCTTCACATCCAACAACAACACCAGCTTCACATCTAACAACAACAGCAACTAATCCACAAAACAAAGCAGCAAATGACAGACCACGCAGATCTACAGCAGATTACAACCGGACCTATGAATTCACGGCAAACATACAAAGGTTGGTTGGTTGGTTCGGAGAGGACGACGACTAACACGAAGGCAACGGCATTTACGGCTGGCGTTGATGGTGAAGGTGAGACGCAGGACGATGCAAGTGAGGAGGAGAGTCAGACCGGTGTGGAGGATGGAGCAGGTTCTGGTTTGAGCAGTGAGGGAGAAGGTGAGATGAGTGAGGGTGATAGTGAGTGTGTGCGCGTGAGTCGAGATTATTATTATTAATATTATTATTATTATTATTATTATTATATATTTTGCTTATTTTGCTTATTATTTTTTTATTTTTTTATTGGGAACACAGCCCTACAAAGAGACATGTGGAGACAAACACAAGACAAGACACAGGGGATGTAGGGACGACGTGCCGATGTACAGGGAGCAACTCGACCGACCAGGGGTCTCGGCGAGTCGGCGTTAGCGTTGCAACCTGGCATCGAAAAAAAGGGGGGGGGGGGTTGCATGGTCAGGTAGCAAAAATAATAATTTGGTGCGAGAAAGGGGCGCTAGTATTGCACCAAATAATATAAATACGTGTAATGACTAAACCAGAAGGGAAAATGAAGAAAGAGAACAATAATCATAACAAGCAAGTACTAGTAGAGAGGTAAATACTAAATGGGTCTCAATATCATCGTCACAGGTACTGTGTGGACCACAGCCATCTCTTTCGGATTAGATCCTTACATACGTTGACCTTGAAGGTTTGGAGGCGTCTTGAATGAGGCTCGTGAAGCAGGAGGTCCGCAGGCAGGTTGTTCCAGGGTGTGATGGCGAAGAAGGGGAAGGATCGCAGGAGGTAGTCAGGGGCTGTGCGAGGGGGTGTCCACTTCAGCTGAAAGGCATGGTGCGTCTGACGTTTTTGCCGTGTGCACATGCTAGCTACGGTAGGGGCTTGGTTGGTGGCAGCATGGCCTTTACCTGGGGAGGCCCTGGAATGTAGTGCAGCTTGAACAAGTATGACAGGGCTGCCACCATCCGACGAAGCTGAAGACTTTGGAGGATGGTTCCAGGTCCCAGGAAATGCAGGGCACGTTGCTGAACCTTGTCCAGCTAGGCCATGTTAGTTGCGGCTGCGCTCGACCAGGCCAGTGGGGCATATTCAAGTAGGGGTCGCACGAATCCCTTGTAGACCGTCACTCGACCATGGTCGTCCAGGATGGGTGCTGCCTTTCGTAGGAAACCCAGCCTTTGGGAGGCGCGCAGTGCAACACTGCGAGTGTGCGCTCTGTAGGAGAGAGTAGGGTCGAGCATGACTCCCAGCAGCTTCAGGGTATCTGTCTCCTGGAGTGCTTCACCTCCAAAGGTGACTGGTGGAGTGCAGGGGGAACGTGCTTGCGATGTAGAGTCATGCGCTGTGTCTTGGCTGGCTCGAAACAGATACGCCACTTGCGGCCCCACTCCTCAAGACTGTTGAGGGACCCTTGGAGGGAGGCGGTGGACTGTTGGAGATCGTCAGTTGGCTGTACTAAGCTGTAGAGTGTGGTGTCGTCTGCAAAGCTGCTCAGCTGCGTTCCTGGAGTTAAACATTGTTCAATGTCACAGGTGTATAGAAGGAAGAGGCTGGGTCCTAGGATGCTGCCTTGGGGGACACCAGCCTGGATGGGTTGAGCATCTGACGTCTGGCCTCCAACCACAACGCGGATGTTTCGGTTGGTGATTATAATAGTGTTACCCAACAGGGCGTTGCCTTTTTGCTGGGAACCCTAAATCATAAGTAAATGTGACTTTGTGAGAGCGCGAAACAAAGCAGGCTTGGAATCCCTGCAATTTCGCCGTATCTTCATTTCTCTGGTTGTTTTATTTAAGGTGGCAGCCTGGTAGTAAAATCACTGAAAAATCGAATTTGTAAATTCATATCGAGTGCTACATCAGTTGAAAGAGCATGAACAGCTGCAAAATCTCTGAAAATTTGGTCTCGATCGGACCAGCCGTTCAAGAGTTATGGCCTAAAATGTGCCCTTGCAAGGACAGATTTTTTTGTTGCACGCTGTCATTTGTTGGCAGCACTGTATTTGAATGTGAGCAGACCGTGCGCAACTTGTCGTATCATGGAAATACGCGAAAGTGTGCAGAATTTTGCTCCAAGTCCAAAAAATCACGTTTTTAGCCACGAATTGGGCTGCACGAGTTTTGCCAGCACCCTCGTGACGTTGCAGATATGTGGCTTGATTCTTGTAGTTGACGTTGATTGAGTGACTTTGGCAAATTTGAGTCGTGTCAAGAAATCAGGTAGGATTCAGTACTAGGCAGTAGTGGAACGAGAGTGGTAGTCTTTGCCGATTTTGGAGGGTATCCTAGATTCGGTTTGAAGCGCTGTGGAAATGGCTTGCAGTGGAGGTCCCGGCACTGGATGTTGTATCAAAGGTACGACCTCGTAGCACGCCCTGAACCTAAACAAATTCAAAAATTGACTTGGGTCTGTGGGAGTCTGTGACAGAACGCCCCCTCCTGCCGTTGTGACAGATTCCAGGGCCACGTTGAAGGGCCCTATCCCACCAGTGACCACCCATGGCTGCTTCTGGACGTTTTTTAGGTTTGGATCCTGCGCACGGACAGAATTGGCTAGAAAATGTGAAAAAATTGTAAATGTATTTGTTTGGCTTCTGGGTGGCTCGCCAACCGTGGCACTATGCCGGAATTTTGAGTTTTTCCGGCCTGTAAAGCCTGTCAGTGAGGCGCAAGAACTTTTAAATCATGTCCAGAGGGCCAGCATAGTGGCAGGAGTGTGTGGTGCAATTTTCACTAAAATCCATTGAGAGACACCAAAGCTACGGTCAATTGAATGCCATATGAAATTTAGGACCAGGCTGCTACCTTAGTACATCAACTTCCACCACCCAGACTATCTCTCTTGCTTTGCGATTACCATCTCACGTAGTGCCCGTAGGCCCCAAAAGCTCATTTTTAACTCACATGGCCGCATTTTCTCATGTCTCTTCCTACAGAAAACTGGTGCACTTTGGAATTGTCTCCCAGCCCGATTGACAACTTTAGATTCCCTAACAGAATTCAAGCGTCATTTACGTATTTACATTGCAAAGTATCAGTTCGACTGCACTGGTAGTGGTATCCCTTTGATGTGCAATCATTGATTTACATGTACACTGCTTGTTCTTTCACTGTATCTTTTGTACAGCATCTCTCTGTTTCCGAACTCATTTTGCACATTTTCTCTTTGTCCCAACTCCAATGTTCATTGTATATACACAAATAGAAGATCCCCCCGATAGGCGTCAGCCAGGCGACAAGATGGAGGCATCGCATTCCACCTACCTGTCGGCACCAAGATACGCAATGGAATGGAAACCATACCGGGAGTAAATACTTGCCCTATCAAAATTTTGTAGTTGAAGACACCACTGCAGCTGTACTTATGGTTGATAAATATGGTGGTAAAGACACACCTGGCAATATGGCGGTAAACACACGCCTGCCCACACACGCTCTCTAGGCTGCAAAGTTCTGGCACAGAGCTCTCCTTCTCACCACCACCACCATCAGTTCGCGCCTGGCGCCTGGTCGATGCATGGCTACCGCCAGCCATGCATCGACCAGGCGCCAGGCGCGAACTGATGGTGGTGGTGGTGAGAAGGAGAGCTCTGTGCCAGAACTTTGCAGCCTAGAGAGCGTGTGTGGGCAGGCGTGTGCTTACCGCCATATTGCCAGGTGTGTCTTTACCACCATATTCATCAACTATCAAAATTTTGATAATAATAATAATAAAATTAATACAATAGTACGAAATAGAGGTTGCGACTTCGGCGATGATTTTGTTTAGAAATGGGTTTGCTCCCACACTGGTGTTCTCACCGTCCAGGAGCGATAACTGACTCACGCTGCTATCTGGTGTTCACGAGGTGTTTGTCGCGTTGGAAACGGATTGTCTCTGTAAGTTTGTATCCCTGGTGATGTTTGTGCCTGGACAGTGGTGCTCTTCAGGCACAATCTTCCTCAGCCTACTCAAGCTCAACTGATGAGGGGTGAATTCCCCGAAACACTGTGCATTGAGCAGGGCCCAGGAGTGGCGCTTTCTTGCAGGTTTGCCGAGTCGAAGGTTCGATGGACTTCTCGTGTTCTCTGGATGGCAGTCATGAGTCTAGTCAGTCAAGTGTCAAGTCGTCGGCGGAATAGCGCGAGCTCCAGTGTGGGAGCAAACCCATTCCTAAATAATATATACAATGTTACACACGTAACATGTCCATTCGTGCAAAACTCCTTCTGCAAGTAACGTTAGACTGTTGTCATTTTGTGGCACAGCTATTGTAGCTGCACGTAGAACTAGAAAAAGGTGGCCGCTCCAAACGTTTGAGCTCGCGCTTCCTAGATCCTGCCGACTGACCGACAGACACTCGACTGACTCGCGACTGCGTCTGGAGCACACGAGAAGAAGGCCGAGCCGCCCACTCGGCAAACCTGCAAGAAAGCACGACTCCCTGCTCAAACGATGCTCTTCAGGCACAATCTTCCTCAGCCTACTCGAGTCAAGTAATTAGTTCAACCAAGAGTACATAACGGCCCGGTGGGTTATGACTCTTGGTTCAACTGATGAGGGGTGAATTCCCCGAAACACTGTGTGTAGAGCAGAGCAGAGAGCAGTACTTTCTTGCAGATTTGCCAAGTACTAGTAGACGGATCAGCCTTCTCGTGTGTTCCAGACGGCAGTCAAGTGTGTCAGTCAGTCAGTCGGCAGGAAGCGCGAGCCCCAATGTTTGGAGCGGCCACCTCCTGGCTCCTTCTACCGCCGAACTCATGACATCTCAGTTCGTACACTGAGCTGCACGTACAATACGGTACATACGAAATGGGATTCATTCGAATCATTGACGATCACTCATTGTGTGATCAGTGGGACTCGCCACTGGGCTATTCTAGAGGCAAGGAGTCAGGTGTCTACACAACTCCCAGCCCGTGGGCCATGACCGATCCTTTGCCACATTCACAAGTACATGTAGTTGCAACTCGGGACGTAATGTACTCGTACTTGCGACTGGGGAAGGTTCTGAGGTGTACGTGTAAGCACACACGACATGGCAACACGTGTAACGGGCTTGGATAATTGATAAGTGGACCATGGTGAACGGTCAGACTACAGAAAGTTGTGACTATTATACTCTAGATTGCGAGACGCTAAAGAAGGAAAGACAGAGGCTTTGAAGGTTGAAAGCAGGCATGCTTGTCCATGTTCTACAGGTACGGGTGGAGTACAATGGAGAATGTTATAATAGAAGCCTTGCTTGATAGTTCAACATGTTTTCGATTTCGACAGCATGTTACAAGGCGAGGACGCACAATGGAGAAGAAGAGAAGAGTAGGCGTGCGGATAGAGTCGTGGGTGCATGGCTACACTTCCTAAGGCATCGCTAGAATAGTGGGAAGCAATAGCTGTTATGCGTGAGATGGTGAAGAAAAGAAGGTCACGCGGTGACAGCTATGCAGAGGAAGCCGGGAAGGCAGTGGAAGCCGGGAAGGCAGTGGAAGCCGGGAAGGCAGTGGAAGCGAGATATGAGAATGGTTGAGGCTGCGACTTTCGCTCCCTCTCCGATGATAACGAAGTCGTGTTCAGCGAATATAAATCAAACTAACAACAGCTCTAGTAATCTAGCTCTCCACGACGAAGCGAGTCGACTGTATGCGGTCTATCGGACCGACGAAGCTCCACTGCGCATGCGCCAGATCGGAGCATAGCGTGGCATGCATGCGCCTTTTCATGCACCAGCCACCCAACGGATGAAGAGGCATAATGACTAATGTTATACTGATAGTGATACTCTCCAAGGACCACAGTCACGAAGCTTTCAGGAATCCTCGAGCCTCAGTACAACGGATGGCAATGAACATTCGACTTGTGCTCGATCGTCTCCTACTAACTTTATTACTTGAGAACGGTTGAGAACTTTGAGAACTTTATTACTACAATCATGATGTCAATGTACCCATGGTAACCGGTGGTATTAGATTTAGATACACTCGCACTTGTATGGAATCGCGAAAGGAGGTGTCAGCAGCTACATGTAGCTCGCTTGTTGCTTTTGCGCTTTTGATGTGAGCATATTATCTACACAATGTGATACTTATTGTCATGACAATAATTATTAGATCTACATGTCCACGGCCGGACGGTAACATCAGGGAGTCGTTTATACGACTCCCTAGCCTAGGCCCTGATCTACACGGACGGAGCTCAGCACAAGTAACAGTTACAAATTGCAAGTGTAAGCTGAGATCTACATGACTGTATCGCGCTACCCCACGGAAAACAACTGTGCTGAACATGGCGCGGAAAAGGTAACAAGTCCCGACTCCCGTCTTCGCACCTCGAATGCTGCGCGTGCGAGCAACCAGCTTTCAAAACGCAACACGAAACTTCGAAAGTCTCGTTTGTGAAAAGAACCCAGCGCTCAGCCAGAAGCGATACGAAGATCACTCAAATTATTAATTTTTATTTCGACGGAGGTATCGAGTTTCGTACCGTGCCATAGCCTAGGCTGCATGCTAGCAAGACTGGACGTAGCATGCTTGACGCTGCAGGCTAGTGCTCTTCCGGAACTCAAACTCAAAACAACCGACTAGCCGGCGGTATTATTGTGTTCCCTGCCGCCGTGGTATACTAGTTGCTACTACATTTTGTAGTATTATTGCGCCAATTATTTCAGTGGAACAGGTATGTGCAATGGCCGGCCGCCGGCCATGCGCTGCAGGGTTCATGGCTTTCCGCTTACAAATGCAGAAAATAGCGGAAGCAGAAACAAATCAGGACTTTTGGCAGGAGATAGATGGCCAGCTAACTAGGGCGAGGTGCGTAAAGCCACTTGGACTTGGTCTTTGTTTCCGGTGGCAGGCATGGAGTCAGTGCTGAGTGGAGGACGGACAGGCATACGAAACACCAGGTAAGCAGATTTCTAGTAAAGAAGCCTAGAAGATATTATTTTTTTTGTACTTGGAAGTACAGGGTAGCTCCAGAGCAGTGATATGCCAAACTCTGTGAATGACTCTTGAACTCCTCATGCTTCATGCCCGGCCATCCTTGAAAACAATGTCAACAATGCAAGTACATGGCTAGAAATCCGACCTGAAACTAAAAAATAGCGCCTCACTCAACCTCAAGTGAGCAGAGTGGTGTGTGTGTGTGGTACAAGTCTCCCCCCCCCCCCCCCCGCTATTCATGAGATTGGATTTCCGTGGCCTGGATTTTATGTTCCCCCAGTGTATAGCGAAGTCAGGGGCTCTTTCAGCACCTCGTACATGTATGTGCCCTGCTCGATGCTTGGATGCAATTTGCACCACAAGGTAAAACCGGGCCTGTCAAGCTGCACCTGGTCTCTAACCAAGACACACACACACACACACACCTTTGACCTTTGACCTTTGACGCCCATCGCCGGAGGCGATGATAGCAATGCTACGGCAGAAGCCATAGCAACTTGTGCTGGGATTGCACCATTCAACAGCTTGCAAGGCTGAAGAATTGACCGTCACTATTCAGCCTGGTCTACACCATACAGCTATTTGAAGTGACTTTTTCTGGCCAGTGAATCCCTATTTTTGGTCTTTTTTGGTCTTTTTTTGGTCTTTTTTTTCCGCACACACATCACACCACATACTCCGGCATGCACTGGCTGTTGGTAACCACCCAGGAGAATGAAAGAAAAGTCAGGAAGAGTCTGAGAAAGAGAAGAAAGACACACACACACACACACACACACACACACACACACACACACACACACACACACACACACACACACACAAACACACACACACTGCCGCACACACACACACACACACACACACACACACACACACACACACACACACACACACACACACACACACACACACACACACACACACACACACACACACACACACACACACACACACACACACAACACACACACACCGCCGCACACACACACACACACACACACACACACACACACACACACACACACACACACACACACACACCACACACACGGTGACAGCTGGCGGCGAAAAAAGTCACACCAGCATTCGACATGAGTCAGTGGGTTGCTATGCACCCACACACTGTAGGCAATAGCAAAATCACACCTTAGTGGATCCAAAAGTAGAAATCTGACATGAACTTACTAATACTTCAACACCTTTAAATTAATAGTAGCAATACGAAGATACATGTAGTTTTGCAGCATGGTTTGAATCGGCCTCATACAATCTGACTCCCTGGTTTGAATCACAATCGTTCTACAAAACAGCATTATTAGTCCTACAGGACTGAAGATAACATACATGTACATGTACATGCAAGGGAAGGCTTACCATGGCCAGCACGGTCATGATGCATACATGAACGTGCCCGAGTCCTCCAGCCTGAGTGGTCTCTGTACTGGAAACGGAGCCCATGGTTCTGAGTAGGAAAACACTCGGTCTGTGGGCTAGCAATATTCCAATTGAACACGGTGACCTCTGTCTTGAATGGAAGGACTTCCTTGATTGCTAGGCGAGACCGAGTATTTAGCTTCACGTCACATACTCTTATAGTACAGTACATTGTACTGGGAAGTTAAATAGATATGGTGGAGGTGGAATTGCTCTACTTGGAAGCACCATTTGAATCCAATCTGGGCACTAAACCCTGCGATTGCCAGTTACCCTGCACTTACCCTGCACTTACCCTCAGGCTGCTCATTCTCTGCTCATTCTGGTGAAGTTTTGAAGTGGGTGTGATGTTGTTTAGAGGAAAGAGGGCTTTTGCGGTCACCCATCTTGCATTCCAAAGGCGAGTTGTTTGCCAGTGAGTTTTGGAGAACCCACTAGTAGACTAGCAGCAGCAAGGCTCAGGCGGTAGCATGTTTGGCTGTGAGCAGGTACATGTACATGTAGTCATGTAGTCATGTAGCTGTATAGGTCCTGTGTACAACTTCCTCGGGCTATGGGCGAGCACCACAGTGACAGCCTGGGACTCTACCCGTACATTGCATGCCACCCTCATGTAATGTGGAAAAGTGATTGGAATACCCGGTCTGACTGAACTCGATCTACAACATGTCATGGTCATGCATGTCTTTGTGAAGCATTTGGATGCATTGCAATTTACATGTATATCTTTTAAAATGCATGCACCGGTATACATGTACACCCTAGTCAATGCAGCACTTAACGTAAGGATCGACGGGAAGCGACGGGACAGTCTGACGGCGTCCAATGTGAGCACCAGGAACGGGAACGCAACCGTACTGCCGTACGGATTGGGAAGCGACGGGAAGAGTAGGATCGATTCAACTCTTCATACCGTAGACGGGCGTAGACGTGGACGCAAGCGTATAAAACAGCTGCATTTTGAGTGTGAACAGGAGACGGCGTCATGTGCCGACTACTCCCGATTCGTACTTGGAGCACTGTGCTTCCCATGGTAACTCGCAGAATGGCTAACACGACTTGAGTTGAAGTTTAGCAAGATAAGGTCTGATGTCACATATGGTATTTAGGGATCAGGAGCGTGACAGACGAACTGTTTTATCATTTCCTGGAGCTATTATTTGAATGGCACACCTTTCGAAGCTACTTTTTCGGTCTTCATGAAAAACTGGTATTGTGAACTTGATTCCGCTTCATTCAAGGAGAAATAATTGAAAAGAAGTCCATAAAAACAGGGAATTAGGTCCAAAAGTCACCCCCGTCATAGACCGTGATATGACTCGCGCCGTTCGCTGTTGAACGACGCAACGACTGCAGCATGTCGTGTCGTACGAATCGTACAAGATTTTAAAGCTCACCCCGGCCTTCCCGACAGGCCCTTACGTCCCGTACCGTCAGCGTTCCATCGAATGTGAACTAGGCTTTACTAGTACATACTTTCTGCCCTTGTAGGCTGCCACAGTAGTCGCACATGGTCGTTTGATCCATGATCCATGATCCACACACACACAAAACCCCAACGGTTCCTGCTAAATACCTGGTTTTCAACTTCAGAATTTCTTCTTCACAAGACACTGCCTGTCACGGTGGCAAACCATTTCAATGGTGCCGTTACACAATTACCATGCCTTGCTCTGTCAGTGATAGGCATGGTGGAGACACGTTCGTATACTTTTGGAAAGGTGTTGACTTGCTGGTCCCAGTGGCGTTCAGTGAATGTGTATTCCAGAATGCAGGGAGGGCGGTACATGTATATGGGCTGTTGTGGTTAAATCCACCATACGGTCAGGGCATTGCCTTCCCATACACACTGAAATTCACCATATGGTCAGGGCATTGCCTTCCTATACACCAACCTACTCCACATTGGGTGGGTGGCATTCCATACAGTGCGAATATTTGACGAAGCCAATTACGAATCAAAACTACAAGTAGTATACTATATTACTTGTAGTTTTGATTCCTAATTGGCTTCGTCAAAGCACGCCTTTCACCGGGCCAGTGACAATCAGTGCAGCCGCATGATTGCCGACCACGTGGCCACAGCATTGTATGCACGTTCTGTTTCTCTCTGTGTTGTTTCTCCAGCAGGTGTTGGATACACGGGAGGTGGAGAATTGAGCCTGCACTACTGCTGAGGTCAGCTACACGGAACACTGGTGCACATGCCGCACTCAATGACAAGCAGTAAGTCCACACATTCTTTATGCTGGTCCAGACACGGGCAATTATGTTATTAACTTACATGTACATGTAGATGGAGAGCAGTTCAGCACCCATGTGACATGTACATGTATGCCCGAAGGCCCAGCTGCCCAATGGTACGTCGATGGGTGAGCTGTTTTATTGCCGCGAGTCCCAACTCCAGTTTCCGTACATGTACAGAATGTTAGGGTAGGGGCTGCATCTGCCGCTGTGGGCTGTGTCTGGGATATTCCGGGTGTTGGTGACCGTCGTCGTGAGTTCCCTCCAGGCCGGACCGGGGACGAAATCTAAAGTCGAATGGGAACTGTTAGGGATGCAACGGAGATTTGATCATTCGAATCATTCCATTTGATCCAACAGTACTCCAAGAATACTTGAATGCAAAATTCAAGAAATGTCCAATGGCAGAAAATTTCCCCTAGATCGGGTACACGAAAAGACAAAGTCAGACTGTGACAACGAGGCATTAGCACTGCTGTGATGGTGGTCTCAGCTTGTTGCGACCAGCAATGTACATGTATACGCGATAGCAGGTTAATGCTCTGATAAGTTGGAAATAAGGATAGAAAAGTACCTTCCTTTTTTTAACGCTCCTCTGATTGTTGTAGGGAATAGGAAATAGAAGATTATTCATTTGTTCGTTAAAAATACTGCTAAAATAGAAGTGATGTTCACTGGAGCTACCACTATCCGTGTCATAGTCATTTAAAAAAAAATTGAACTTGCTTTGTAATAGCAGGCAATTGTCATAAAGACGTTTGGCATTTGGAGCCACTTGGATCTACATGATGGCATACACTTGCACCGTACATGATCCATAACAGCGTGCGAAGGGTTTCCTTCAGGACACGGAAACACATCTGCTGGTAATGACTGGATTAAACACTGGGAGGGGGGGGGGGGGGAGGGAATACTGATGGTGCCCAAGAAGTCACGCGACATAACTGTATGTGCCAGGAGGGGTCTAGCACCATGTACCCACCATGTACCCACCATCTGCAACACAACATCTTTCTTTGAAAAAGCGGATTCAGAAATAGCCACAGACATGCATGTTTTCGGTACTACCTGGCTTAGGCTGGCTATGGTTGACATCATTTTCAAGCGCATCATATGTGGCCAGTCCACACTCCACACCATAATAACCAATACACATACACACACATGCTTCAGAAGTCATTGTACGTGTACATGTGCACATGCATGTATACAATACAATGTACAATGGAATGTCATGGCATTCTAACAGTTATTTGTATATGTAAATGCTAGTAGCCACGTTCACCTATTGCCGACAGTAGTGGCACCATGGCATGGATATGCATGCACATACAGGAGGTGTAGGATTGCCTGTTTGCGGAATGGAGAGGACACCCTGTGCCTGAACAATTCTGCAACTAACTACTTTCTTGTCACATACTAGTATTCAGGAAAATACATGCAGCGCAGCAGAGAACTAGTAGTAGTGTTAGAACCCATTCCAGTGCACAGTAGGTACATGTTCGCGAGCATTATACTGTATACTTATAGCTTCCACTTGGGATGAGGCAAAGACTTACAGGTATCAGTTGTGCCAGTGGTATAGGGCTTGAAAGTGCTACGTCACAGCATAGCAACAATTTCAAAAATTCAAAAATTGGATCCACTTGGATCCAGTTTTTGTATGGATCCAAGCACATTTCAAGCCGTCTTACTCACAGCAAGGTGATGTAGCCAGTGAAACTGACTGATTTGGCTACTGGGGGCGGGGTTACAACTGGTGGCGAAGTAAAAGTCACCCCTGCATATGACATGAGTGGATTGCTATGCACCCACATACTGAGGCAATAGCAAAGTCACACCTTAGTGGATCCAAAATAGAAATCTGATGTCAACTTACTACTCCCTGGCCGTTTTGACGTCATCACTTTCAAGCCCTATTGTTCCTACTATGGCTGGATGTGATTCAATGGCTTGGCCCATCATGTGACTGTACTAACAGCTCATTCTAGCTACTACTGTACTAGTACTGTAGTATGGTACTGAACTGAACTGTTCAGTACTGTTCAGTACTGTTCAGTTCATGTACTGTACAGTACAGGCCAGCCTTGAGCCACTCTGCAATCAGCTACCATGGCTACGGCGGCTTCATCCAATTATACGCTCCAGTAGTGAAGCAGGGTGAGCTTTCACCTGCATGAGTGGCATAGCCCGGGCCGCAATCTCAAGAATGGAGTACTTGGCAAAAGCACCTGTACATGACATTGTATTAGTCAATTGCTTGTACACACATTTGAAAAGTGGGAAGAAGTGGTCAGTGAAGAGGAAACCTCAATCAGAGTGGTCTGGGTGACTCATCAAAGTACAACTCGTTGTGATTGGGCTGCGGCAAGGATTCAGGCCTCCATTGAACTGTGGTGCTGTTGCTGTGTTTTTTGAGTAGTAGACCGCTTTCAAATACCATTCCTAATGGTTTCAAATATTTAAATTTGACACCTACTTAAGTACATGTAGCTCATCCACAGGGTTCAAGAAGACCGGGATGGCAGTTGCACAGTCAATGCCCGTGTGATATGATGTAAACTACCCAGTTTGCTCCACAATAACCCAAGCCTAGTATCTGGCTGTAGCATAGGCATTTGCGGGCCTTTCAGGGCCTTTCACTGCACTGCCGGGAGCTTGTATGGATGCGGCCCCTACGTTGCTCATTGGAATGGGTGGTTGTTCTGTATCGTGTATCACCATTCCTTGCACTGAACTGAGAAGAATCAGCTGTTATTATTGTGAGAAGCAGGTGCTGAAATATGGCACCTGAAGTATGCATGGTCAGTGGAACCTGTCTAGGGCCAGTTTGCAGAAGCATTTTCCTGGGACTCTAGTATGGTGTGATGCCGCACTGTTACCTACAGTAGGTGGTTATAATATAGAGTTGTGCCGGTGTGCATAGGGTATCATGGTATATACTTGAGTGCAAACGCGAAGGGAAGATAGACTTGACTATATGATGGTCTCAGTCATGCAGGACTGATGATGCTGTTTGCTGCTTGAATAGGCCAATGACTGAACGAGTGTACATCTGCAATGTACAAAAGTCAATGTCACAGTAGTGATGCACTCCCTGAGGAACTCGGCCCCAAGGGTGAGCATATGAACTGATGCTTTCGAGTTGCAGCGGCTTAGACCATGGTGGTAATGGTGATGGTGTTGGAGATGTGCATACATGTGCATGTGCATGTGCATGTGTATGTGCATGTGTATGTGCATGTGTATGTGTAATGTGTATGTGCATGTGCTTATAGTAAAGCAACACCTACATGTACATACACATTGTACATACGGCTGACCGCAACAACGGTATAGCTGCAATGCTTGGGTGCTTTAAACAATTCAATGGTTGTATCCTGTGCTAAGAATGCTGAGAATTTCTGGCTAGAAAATGGCACATTGGTGTGCAATTGTCCAGTTACTGTTTACATCCGATTTGGCGGCATTTAGTCCTTTGTATTTTCATGGGCATCCCTGTCAGATGGCATGGGGCTGGCCTCCAGCAAAGACTGCAGCATCCATATGGCACCATCAGATAATGACTTGGTAATTTCTCCATCAGTGTTGTATCATGATGCCTAGGTGTACGGTAACTTTACTCCAGTTCACAGGCAGGTTGGTGTTGTTATGACTGCCATTGGTGTCAAGGTGGTGTCGGATGGCCTGACCCCCAGGGTCATTTTAGGCATCATCAAGTCAGGGGAGGGACTCAAGCCAGCGATCTAACCCATAACTGTAGGAGCCAATATGTACATGTACATGTATATCCATTCATTCAGTTTTCCTGGATTGGGTCAATACTCTCAAGGTGCAGTTAATACTGCATAGGGCTAGTCCGGCGGCATGGTATGTAGCAAGGCTGTGAGAAGCTGTTATATCAGGCACAGGTACTTGTAGCATCTGCTGGGGGTAATGAGAACTCTGCTCCCGGCACACACCCCGCTGATACCAGTCCATGACTTATCACTAATGTTTACTCCTCAGTGGACATTTGCATCTCTACGGGGTGGTCTGGGCATGATCCACGGCCCTCAGCTCCAGATCAGGTCGCAAATTGATCGTGATCAGCTAGGCCAAGTAATGCCTAATGGTCGAGAGTGTGGGTTGAACTGCATCTATTCTTAACATGTATGCCTGGGATCCCAAGTAGCTGGTGCCACAGCTAGACCATAAGTGGCGGTTGAACCACTACAGCCTACAGTTGCCTTTGGAGCGGAGGCTTGGTCTTCACTACACTGTATATACCCTTCTGTATGCAATGGAAGAGTTCACACAGTGTACGCCTATGTTCATATTCTGTCTTCCAGGCTTCTGCCTGGATCTCCTCACCAGTGGCAGTCTGGCTGGTACTCAGTTATACCAGGTCCACATGTGTTGTTAGGACTGTTTGGGACATACCTTGTTGTACTAGTACTCGGCACACCTTGGCGGTTTTCCGTCATTTGTTGTGCTGGCTCTAGTGTGTTGGTCGGCCATTCATTGTGCATTGTGCATTCTGCATTCTGCATGTACGTGTACCTTGTAGCTGTAGTAACAGTACAGAGCATGGTCATTGGCATTGTTGTACAGAGCATGGTCATTGGCATTGTTTTTACAGGGCATGGCCATGCATGATGCGGTGGGACTAAGTCACACTCTGATATCTATTTCAGTGCATGTTCATTGTACATACATGTACGTATCATGTACAATGGTTGTATACTTTGTATACTTTGTAAGACATCTGCAATGTGCCGGCATGGCAAATGTGTGACATCAGACCATGCAGTGGATGACTCTCACTCTAAGTCTAACTGTGAGCACAGTGCAGTTTGAAGGGATATGACTTTATTCAGTCAGTGGCCCGGGGCAGATCATGTAGAGTCGCCACTATTCAGCAAAATCTGGTTTAGGGATTCACTGACCCACTGTTCATTGCATGGGTCACTGATAAAGGTTAGCACAGCATTGCTGGGAGG